GTGTTAAGTTTTATTTGAGGGCAAAATGAGGGCTATAGCTCTGGAGACAAGACTTCAGATAGCTCTTAGGAACTGCTCAGAAGAGGGGTGGGAGTGGGGAGGACTCAGTATTATATATGATTTTAGTGAAGGTGGGGTACATACAGTCAAGTACATATTTAGACGGAGGCTTGCTGCTAAGTCACGAGGATCAGATGCCACCATTAATGATTTTAGTGCTTTTCTAGATGTGAGGAGATATGCAAGAATTTGGGCTCATAAAATCTCCTGAAAATATCTAACTATCTGAAGGCCTTTTCTGCCGGTTTTCCAGTTTTCCCAGAGCAGAGTTCCTCATTCCTGATATCCACCCTGAACTCCCTTCAGGGAGTGTTGGAGGTCAGCGGCTGCAGCAGCTCGTGATTTAATCCTGATTTAATCCAAGCAGAGGTAGGTAGATGGCAAGTGCCAAAGTGATTCAGTCCTTGTAGAGGCAGATAGCAAGAGCCAATTTTTAGTTGGCACGTACATGGGGTTGACATATATCTATTAGGCCCCTACTGTGTGCAAACTGCTGAGGATCCCCAGGCAAATCAGAAATAGACCCGACCTTCCAGGTTTCCCCCAGTTTAGCTTTCAAGACACCAGGGTTTTATTCAGGATTCTAAAACTATGTCGGCTTGCCCTTTCATTTAGTATTCACCACCAGACACTTCAAACACTTCTGTGAACTCACTTTAGTATTAAAGGAAAGAAAATTGTTTTCCACTTAGTCCTTTGTCTGATTTCCCTTAGCACACAGCCACCTGAATTTTGCTCTATGTTTAGAAAACAAACAAATGATAGGGTGGGGGATACAATTTCAGTAACATTAGTGAAAGACTGTTGCTGATTTCCTGATAACTTCATAGGCTAAGCACAAACTTAACCAGATTTTCTTTAGCTATTCTTCATAAGGGATCTACAGTTACATATAAAATAATCCACAAAGTACAACTCATCTTATTCTTCCCAAATATGCTACCTTCCCTCAATTTCCTTATTTCTATTAGTTCTCCCAGTTCCTTTCTCATTTTATGGATAAGCAAGCTCCTTATTGTTGTCATATGCATCTTTCTAAATATCACCTTCATCCTCTTCCTCTTCTACATAAAAACTTTCAATGGTTCCCAATGGCTACACAAATGAAATGAAAACACCATGCTTGACATCTGAGGGTATAATCTGATAGTAATAATAGCAGCAGCATTTTTCAAGTGCTGATCACAGCTAAGTGCTGTGTATCATCTCACAACAACCGTCCAAGAGGTAGGAACTATGATCAAGACCCCATTTTCTGGAAATTAAGAGTCAGGTATAAAGAATTTAAGTATCAATCCCACTTCTGGGCATATATCCAGAGGGAACTCTAATTAAAAAAGATACATGTACCCGTGTTCATAGCAGCACTACATTAATAGCCAAGACATGGAAACAACCTAAATGTCCATCGACAGAAGACTAGTTAAAGAAGTTGTGGTATATTCATACAATGGAATACTACTCAGCTATAAAAAAGAATAAAATAATTCCATTTGCAGCAACATGCATGGACCTGGAAATCATCATTCTAAGTGAAATAAGCCAGAAAGAGAAAGAAAAAATATCATGTGATATCACTCATATGTGGAATTTTTTTTAAAAAAGAGAAAAAAAGGACACTGAACTCATATACAAAACAAAAACAGACTTGCAGTCATAGTAAACAATCTTATGGTTACCAGGGAAAGGGAGTGGGAAGGGATAAACTTGGGAGTTTGAGATTTACAAATGTTAGCCAATATGTATACATAAATAGATTTTTTTTTAAATTTCTGCTATATAGCACAGGGAACTTATGTTCAGTATCTTGTAATAACCTTTAATGAAAAAGAATATGAAAATAAATATGTATGTATATGCCTGCCTGGGACATTGTGCTGTACACCAGAAATTGACACACAGTAACTGAAGGTACTTCAGTAAAAGTAAAAATAAAAATAAAGCCATCCTATATTTTCCCCTTCCATATTATGGGGCATTGATGTTACAAGTAACAGAAATCCAATCTTTTTATTAATTAGGAAAAAAAATAACTCATTGACTTACACAATTGAAAAAGGAGGGGAAAAATGGCTTTGGGCATGTCTAGCTCCAGGGCTCAAGTGATGGCATCAAGATTCAATTTCTTGTTCACTTCTTGGCTCTTTCATGGCTCTGTCAAGCTCTCTACACATGGTGGCAAGATAGTTACTGGCAACTCAGGGTGACATCCTCTTAACCTGGGCTGAAAAAACAATGCCTACTTACTTAGCGCTCTGGCCAAAATTCAAGATTACCTTTGATTACACTGATCTGTGTGCTATGCTTCTTCCTGACCTAATCACTATGGCTTGGGGTGTAGAAAACACTACTTGGACAGGACTTGATCTGGAGGGGGATCAGCCTCACCTAAACCACATGGGCTGAGAGTGGGCCAAAGGGGTTCCCTCCAAGAAAACTGTGTGCCATAACCAGAAGAGGAAGGATGGGCAGGCAAAAATCATGGATATTCAGTACCTCCTCCTTCACTTTTTTTTTAAATTGTAGTATAGTCATTTACAATGTGTCAATTTCTGGTGTACAGCACAATGTCCCAGTCATGCATATACATACATATATTCATTTTCATATTCTTTTTCATTCAAGGTTATTATAAGATATTGAATATAGTCCCCTGTGCTATACAGAAGAAATTTAAAAAAAGTTTTTTCCTTCACTTTTCAGCTGTGGAGGTGAGCTATACACAGAAACAGTCCTTTAGTCGTACACCAGGAATGACATTAATATTATCTAATTACTGCCAAAAAGATGGCTCAACATAGATTATTTTACAATTAAATTATCATTTTGGACAGGGTCCTTTCATATGTAATTCACCTACATCTAACCAGTGGCAATCCTGTGGTGATTTAAGCCAGACAGACCTATGTTCAACTCCTGGTTTAGCCCTTTCCTAGCTGTGTGGTCTTAGGTGACTCAACTTTGCTGAGTGTCAGTTTGAAGAAAAATAATACCACCTTCACGGAGCTGCTCTGAGGATTAGAGGTGATTTAGCATACGATAGACCTTCAGTCAAGGGAATATAATTATTTATAAACTACATTAAATTACCTTGAAGTAACTTTCTCAGCTAGTTATTTCATTATAATACTGTTACATGAAATACTGCTATTCCATTAGAAATTAAATTGTATAAAGAACATGATTTTTAGTCTCTGAACTATGGAATTTAAGCAATATAATAATAATTAAAATAATTTAAATTCTTTTTGGAGGATCCGTTCTCCTAGGGTAGAAAAAAATGAATGCAATCAATTTGGAAACCTCTCTACCATAATTTTTTGGAGCTGACCTAATTTCAGAGGGGCTTGAATAGCGCTTATCTCATCTGCTCCTTAAGTCATTTGTACACTCAGCCTTCACTGTCCTCTCTGGATCCCCATCGTTAGTACCCATAGGTTGTTGCTGATATGTCTCTGGTACATCCATTTGCCCCCTTCAGATCCAATGGCTCTTCTCCATACTCTAATTCCAAGCTTTGGGTGGGAGGGAATAGGAGTTAGAGGGGATCACAGGTGTCTATGTGCTGCATCTGGGCCACAGTGGAGGCAGGAATCTCCTTCATCAGGCTGTTTCTAATGTAGTCTGCCTAACTGAATCATGCAGCTATTTCTGACATGCAGTTAAGAAGAGAACAAGGCCCCTCTGCTTTTAGGTTTCCCAGATCTGAATAGATCTTCCCACTCTTTCTAGCATTCAGAGCACTAAAAATAATTCTATTTACTTTTCAGATAGTTAACTCAATTTAAGACTTTCAAGAAACAACTGTATTTGGGAATCCTTCACAACCAATGAAGATTAATTAAAAAGAGTCATGCACTATAAGTCATCTTCCAACCATACATTAAAAAACTCCCCAAACCAAAGACTATGAAAAAAAAAGAACATATCAAAAGTGAAATACCTAAAATGTCTCGCTCCTCTATTAACTTTGGTAAGAAACGAGTGTTTAGTAGAGCAAATGTGCTGCATGGGTGACTGCAGGAGCAAGCTGGCAACTGACAAAGCTCTTAGACTATTGTTCTTGTCTATAATGTCAAACTCTGGAATTTGACTATCACAACTTATCAAATAAGAAATTTTTAATAATTATAGATAAAAATTTTTTCAAAATTATTCTTGTATTCCAGAAGTTCAGATCTACGATAGTGATATTTTACTTGGGCCTTAGGCCAACTATCCATTTTAAAACTAGGCTATTCAGCCTTGAACTCAAATGTTTAGAGTTCCTCTAAAATATTACCTCGTCCTTAATAATTTCCTTGTAGAAACAGTAGAGAAATGAAATGTTTTCCTTCAAGTTTGTCTTCAGTACAAACTCCCTGGTCTTCATTCTGTGATAGATGTGAACATTTATATAATTTCTGGGTAACTTTAGTCCTTCTCTGCTGGTTTCTTCAATGCTCCTGTCCCACCTCTACCCCTCCCCCCTTTAAAAAGTCGTGTGTTTTGAATCTTAAATTCCTGTATCAAAAGAGGTATAGTTTCCAAGTTGCTACCACTCCTGCCATAGTTGGCACTGGTGAGGTCTTAGGAACCGCTACTTGTTGGTGACAGTCGCCATAAACCATAGGAGAAAGACCCCCAGTAGACCAGAAAATCAAGCAAATTGTCCGTTATAATTAGAATCTTTTGTAGTTTTGGAATGCATCTTCATATTTCATGAAAATGCTTTTGTTTAAAGGCCAAAGATAAGACTACAGCAGGCCTGCAAAAATGTACCACATCGTATTTTTAAATTTTATTTTTTAAGTTGTAAAATAAATATACACCACGTTACAGAAAACTTACAAAATAAAGGGGGAAAGTCCGGCACGTCACTGTCCGAACACAGCGCTTTTAATCGTTTTGATGAACGCCCTTCCACCTTTCGCTTCGCGCTTCCAGCTCTTTGTAACCTTGACCTTCGCGCGCCGCCGGAGCCACGGCGCTGGGGGCGGAGCTGCTGCGCGCGGCGTGCGCCGTCACCATGGTAACCGCAGAAGGCCGGTCCCGGAGAGCGGTGAGTCCCGGGTTCCTGGGCCCAGGGCCGGGGGTGGGCGCAGCAGTGAGCATGGGGGAAAATGGGCACTCCCCGCCAGGCTGCTCGGCAGGGGCTGGCAGGGAATGGGCTTCAACCGCGGCGTCCCCAGGCTTTGCCTTCGTCCGAGCTTTGCGTAGCCGGTCCCGCCCCGCGGCCAGTTCCTCGGCTTCAGGCCGAAAGGCCGACTCTCGTGCCCAGTAGTGACCGCTGCACCCTGGGCCCGGCCTCCCTGTTCTCGAGGCGGGGCTGCCACCCTCTGTATCCACTCCCTCGGGCCTTCCTATTGTTTAACCCTGGAGAGCCCAGGGCTGCCCTTTGAGGCCTTCTGCTAAAGCTGGGACTTAAAATCCTCAAGGGACGACATTTTTTGAAGAAAAAATTCAGTTGGCTTAAAAGGCCCTTCAGCTCTATTCCTCTACCGCAACTTAAGGCCGGCTTGTCTGCCTCCTTGCCCATTGTGTATGCTAATCCCATTGCCTGGATTGCCCTTTTCTCCTCTTTTTAAAACTCCTGCTCTTTGGTACTGAAGTGTCAACCTCTCCTGGGAAGCCTTTCCAGGACCTCGGCACTCGGAGTCTAATTTAGAGGTCCAACCTTTTTACGCTCCAAGCACCCTTTCCTTACCTGCATTCTGTCCCTCATCTCATTCTGTCATTGCTGATTTACTTGTGTCTTTCCCACCAGACTGTGTCACCGATGGGGTAGGGACTTAGGAGATTGTCTGAGACTAGTGCCTTAGCAGCCTCAAAAGAGCTCACGCTTTATAGTTGAAAGGAAAAATTTACAGACTTGTTTTCCTCCTCTAATTCAGTAAGGCAGAGCAGGTGCTGCTCTCATTTCACAAATGAGGAGAGTGAGTTCGGAAAAGTCTCATAATTAATAAATACCAGAATCAGGACTAAAGCATGGGCCTTCTGACCCATAGTCCAGTAAGCCATTATGCCTTCAGCATTCCAGCCCTCCTCTCTCCCTTCTCCATGCTCATATTCTCTGTGAACTTTCGGTTGTGTGTAGTGGGTTGCAATTTCGATCCGTGTTACAACTTTTCCAGGCAAAGAAAATGTAATTTATTTTTGTGACTGATGTAGGTTCTTTCATGAGCACTCAGTTGTTATTAGGAAAAAATAATGTTAAGTTGGTTTTAAATTTAATCTGTAAATGGCTTCCTTGTCAAATGTTTAATTTCTCATATAAAGACATTGAAGTTCTCAGATAAATTCTCCCCGATTGTCTCCTTGAGATGGTGTCTTGGTATGTGGATATGTTTGGGTGGCTCACGAGATCTGTGGGGAAGTGTCTGGGGTCCCTTTGCCATGTCTGAGCTCAGGTCCCTTGTGAGCACTTCTCTCCTGGTTTGGTCAGGGCTTAGTAGCTCTCCCTGGCTCTGGTGCTCCCTGTCTCACTCGGTTACACTGAGCTCTTGCTGTGACTTCCCTTCCTCCCTGGTGGGGGTGGTTTGCCCGGCTGCCCTCCTTCCCTACAGAGCTTCCTCACCTTGCCACAGCAGCCAGATCTGGGCAAACCTCCTCTGCAAGACTGTCTGCTGCTGCTAGGTCACATATATGTTCTAAAGCAGTGGTCCTCAAACTTTTTGGTCTCAGGACTTTGTTACACTCTTAAAAATTATCGATCCTGGAACAGACTCACAGGCATAGAAAACAAACTTATGGTTACCAGGGAGGGGAAGGGGTGAGGACGGATAAATCGGGAGTTTGGGATTTGCAGATACTACTATATATAAAATAGATAAACAACAAGGCCCTACTGTATAGCACCAGGAACTGTATTTAATGGCTTGTAATAAACTATAATGAAAAATAATGTATATAACTGAATCATTATGGTGTACACCAGAAACTCATACAACATTGTAAATAAATTGTACTTCAGTTAAAGAAACAATAAGGTCCTACTGTATAGCACAGGGGACTATATTCAATACCTTCTAATGGCCTATAATAAAAAAATATGAAAAGGAATCTATATGTGTATGTATATATGTATATAACTGAATCACTGTGCTGTATACCAGAAATTAACACAACACTGTAAATGAAGTATGCTTTAATTAAAAAAAAATAGATTGGCAGAGAGGGTATATAGCTCAGTGGTAGAGTGTGTCCTTAGCATGCACAGGGTCCTGGGTTCAATCCCCAGTACCTCCAGTAAAATCAGTCAATCAATCAATCACCTCAACCTCCCCACCCCAGAAATGTAAAAAATAGAATGGGATTTTGTAAGGACAAATAATATTTTATTTAATTATATATATACAAATGTACTAATAAATGTGTTGCTGAAAGATCGGCCCTCGTCCCCGATGAGTCAAATAACCCAGAGACAAGGTCTTGGAGCTTAGAGAGGCAATTTTATTGCTTTGCCGGGCAAAGGGGACTCACAGCAGGCTAGTGCCTTCAAAGCTGTGAACCCACCTTAGGGATGGGGTGGGGTGGTTATACAGCTCAAACAATAAAGCATTGACAACAAGCAACAGAATCATTTTCTCATCAGAAAACTTAGAATGGCAACATGATGCCTCCAGGCGACCAATTCTGTAGAGGCCAGCGGTTAGATCTCTTTATCTCATAAGCACTCAAGGTGTGGTCTTCTTGGTAATTCAGGCTAGTTTTTAAGGTTACAGTCCTGCGACCTTCTCCTTGGAAAAGGACTCAGAGACCAAGTTTGATTATTGCTTTCAATTCCTGGAATAAAGTAGAAACAGTAAGATCATTTGCTTTAGTTTTAACAATGGGCCTGAAACTGTGAATAACAACCAGTCAGTCAGGTCAGTTGACCGTTTTAAGGGCAAGCATAAGAATAAGCAATCTGTTAGCCTAAGTGCAGCCATTTTTTTATTAATCCTCCTTCAACTGCAATGTGCCCAGGATAAAAGTGTCCATTACAAGTGAACAATTAATTGTTACTTTATTAACAGATGTTATATATTTTACATATATAATTGAAACATGATATCATAAACTACTGTATACTATATATTATAATAGAAATAATATATATGTATTTGGACAGGACATCCACCTCATGGTCTGAGTTAGCTGTGCAAGCTCCAGTTATCATGCTTGCAATCCGGTGAGAAGGAATGATACTTTTCTAGACGTTGCATACTATGTATCTACTTACATCCTATTGTCAACTACTTGAAGATATGGCTGTACCATATAGAAGAGAGACTGGGAAATAGTTGTATTCCAATATAAATTTTGGTTTAAAAAAAAAGTGTGGTTTCTGTTAGTTTTGTCTCATAAATTAGTTTCGTGGTTTGAAATTAAAAAAAAATTTTTTTAAGTGTGGTTGAGAGAAGAGGATGGGATTTTATTCCTAAAGAAGGGGAGATTAGACTTTGAGAAAAACTATGTCTAAGTACTATACTTACCAGGGGCCCATGTGATCAGGCAGGCTGGATGAGCAGAAACCAAGGGAACTCTGGAGGGTCAGACCACAAGAACCACAGCATGTTCTCACAGCAGAAAGTTTGATTAGTGTACTGTTGCTGTCACTGGTGATGAATGACTTTCAACTTCCCTCATGTCCTTGTGTCCCATGTTCAAGAGTCAAGATCCCGGTTACTTGCATGTAGAAGCTAAAAAAAAAAACGAACTCATAGATGCAGAGAACAGATTGGTAATTGGCAGAGGCAGAGGTAGGGGGTGGGTAAAATAAGTGAAGGTGGTCAAAAGGTACAAACTTTCAGTTATAAGATAAATATGTCCTGAGCATGTACTATAAGCATAGTGACTATAGTTTACAGTAGTATATTGAATGGAATACAAAGCTGTATTGTATTTGAAAGTTGCTAAGATCTTAAAAGTTTTCATCACCAGAAAAATGTGTAACTATACGAGGTGTTGGATATTAAACTTACTGTGGTAATCATTTTGCAATATATGCATATATCAGGTCATTCTGTTGTACACCCTAAACTAATGCAATGTTATATGTTAATAAAAAGAATAATGCAAAGATGAACAGCAACATAAAAAAAGAGTCAAAATCCTAGGACCGAGTAGCTGATTAGCTGAGCATGACTTATGTGCCTGCCCCCAAGCTTGTGCTGAGATGGAGAGTGGGAAGTTAGGTTTATCTTCCATTAGAATAATTCGCTAAGATGGAGATTGAGATTCTTCAAGGAAGCATGTGTGTCGGGGGGTGGGGTTGGAGGGTGGAGAGTTGGATATCAGGCACTCAAAAGGATTACAAGTTTCCTGTATATTTATTCTGTAAAATGAACGAATTGAATGAAACCATCTCAGATGAGTTGGACCAAATCTTACAGTGGAGTCATGGTTGATTGGCTAATTCAACTCCCATTCCCAGCCTCATCCACCTTGCTTACTTCTGTTATAGAGGCAGGAACATGGAGAAACTTCCCTTTTTTTTGCTTCTCTTACATAAAGGGCACAATCTGGCCTTTGAGGTGTAACTGGAAGTTTGTCGGGCCTTGTTAGGAAAGACTTTGTTTTGCTTTCCTCTCAGAAAGGTTGGATGCCACTAGTATCCTCTGAGGGATTTCCCCTTTTTACTGGCGTAAATGCTGACAGGATGATAGGAATTATGACAACCATCTTGTCACCATTAGGCAACAGCCATGATGTTGAAAGTCTTAACACACAATGATGGAACAGAAAGAGCTCAGATCTCTATTTTTGAGCTGCTGTACCATCTCCACCTTTAAATTTCCTGTTTTGTGAGGTAATAATCTATTTTAAAAAGTCAGTCTTATTATTTTTCTGTGATTTGCAGCCAAAGCATTCCTAGCTTCAACAGATTACAAATATTATATGCATTTAGTGAAGGTAGAGATTAATGTAGGGCTATAGTAGATACAGATGTTATTCTAACTAGATTTCCCTTCCTTCTGACATCTGAATGACCAAGTCCTGCCCATTCTTTATAGCAGCTTAAATATCATATTCTTTACTAAATGTGTGATTCTCTTTATCCCATTTCCTTCATCTTCCCTCACCCTCCCCTCACCCTCCCCTCAACACTATCCTGAATCTTGTGTTCAATCTTGCTTTTCTTCTTTTAAAAATAGTGTTATTGCATCTACTTCTATTCCTAAGATGTCTATTTTAATTTTAATTGCTTTGAACTTTACAAAAATATATCTTGATAGATATAATCTTTTGGATTTACTTTTTTTTTCAGCTAATTTATGGCTAAGATTCATTCATATTGTTGTTGTGCCTTAATTATGTATTGCTGTGCAACAAATTATCCTCAAACTTGGTAGCTTAAAATAGCACACGTTCATTGTCTCAAAGTTTGTCTGAGTCAGGAAGCAGGGCACAGCTTAGCTAGATCTTTAACTTCAGGGTCTCTGATGAGGCTACAGTCAAGGTGTGGCCTGGACCACAGGCCTCTGGAAGTTGAACTGGAGCAGATCCATTTCCAAGGGTAGGGTCATGGGAGCCATGTCAGAAGCTTCCTACCACATAGTATATCACTGTAATTTCTTCATTTTAACTACTGTGTACTATTTTGTGTGAATTTGCCACAGTTTATGCTCCTGTTCACAGGCATTGTTTTTGTTTTTGGTTTTTTCTTGCTCAGGATTTTTGGTGTTACAAACAGTGATGCTGCAAACGTTTTTATACACATGAGGGGACCATGCTACTCCTTTCTCAGTCATTCCCAATTTAATATGTGTCCTGCCAGAGTGAGTAGTATTAAGATTTCCTTGATTAATTCTACCTGGAATTAATCTCATCCCTTCTAAACTTCCGTAGCACCTCATCTCTTATGATACTTAGCACTTGTCATCTTTTATTGCACTTATTTTGTGCATGTCATATTTTCTCCTCTGAAGTAGTAAGTTGTTGAGGGCAGGAAATAAATTTGATTCTTCTTTCTAATTTACGTAGTGCCTACAAAGCACTTAGTATGTTAGTAGGCTTTCAGTGTGCAGTACTGAGTAAATGAATTCTGTCTAAATGTCAGTGCCTAATTTTTAAGGTCTTAATAATCTGGCTCCAGTGGTTCAACTGTATTTCTCATTTCTCCCCTGCATGGACTCTTGTTTAGGCAGACAAGTCCCTTTTACATTCTCTTTCAGTCTTTTCCTAATGAATCTCACCCACATTGATCTCTTTCTCCTCCTGTTCCTATTGAATTTACTGTTTACATCACACATTCAGCATTTTAGTGTATATTCAGGCAGTGTATTGGTGCACAATAAACTTTATTGATAGAATAGATGAAGTCTCTTATTTTATAACTATTTTCAACCAGCCAAGTATTTTCATTTCATTCATATTGTCAGTTGCCTGATAAAATAAATACTGATTTGTTTGAGAAGATTTCTATTACTTTTTTTTTGTTCCAGGTATTTTTGGAATTAATGGAGTCAGAAGGACCCCCAGAGTCAGAGAGTTCAGAAAAATCAATATTTTTCTCACAAGAAGAAGAAGAGGAAGAAGAAGTTGATGAAGAAGAAGATGAAGAAGCCAGGGAGCCAGAGGAAACTGGCACCGTTAATCCCCTCTTACAGCCTGCTCTCACAGGGGATGTAGAAGGTTTGCAGAAAATTTTTGAGGATCCTGAGAACCCTCACCATGAACAGGCCATGCAGCTGCTCTTGCAGGAAGACATCGTTGGAAGAAATTTGTTGTATGCAGCTTGCATGGCTGGGCAAAGTGATGTGATTAGAGCTTTGGCAAAATATGGTGTGAATCTGAATGAAAAAACCGCCAGAGGTATTTTGTCTTTTTTTCTTCATTAGTATTACTTATGACTACATAAAGATGCTCTGTACTGTCTTTAAATTTGGATAAACTTGATGTGCCTCCTTTATAGTTTGCATAGTTTATGAATGCATACATATACATGAGTGTGTACATGCATGTTGCTATAGTATAGCATAGTAGTTAAGAACACAGAATTCACTATTTATTAGCTGTGTGATTTGGACAAATTACCTAATCTTTTTTGTGTCTCCGTTTCTTCATCTGCAAAATGGGAATAATAATTGTATTTTCCTTATAGGCTATGAGGATTAAATAAGATAATAAATATAAATATCTTACCACAGTACTTGGCACATATAAGTTGGTATACAGTAAGTACTCAATAATATTATCTCTTTCCTTTGAAGATTTATAAGTTTTTGCAGTTATTATCTAATTAGCTCTTTAAATTCAGTTTTTTTTTTCAGATTGCAAATATAAACATGGTCATTGTAGAAAATAAAACAATGTTCTTCAGCAGAAAGGGAAAGTGCATCCTGCTTTATTCTTGCTGCTTATAGTAAAATACTGGAGGAGAGAGAGATTGAGAGAACTGGTAGATTAAAAGGAACCAGGACTTGATGATTTGGGAAATTCTAGGCCTATTATAACGGAAAGTGTGCATGAACTGGTCAACCTAATTATACTAGTCAACTTGGCAATTATCATTTTAATCATCATAAAATAATGACTTACATTAAAGTTTACCAGTAAGTTTCTTGTTTGGTTGGTATTGATTTAGTTCCCATGAGCTTTTTCACCTGAGAGAACAGATCAAATCAAGGTTTTTTGTTTTTGTTTTGTGCGAACATTTAAGTTCTACTCTAAGCAAATTTCAGTTATAAAATATAGTTATCAACTGTAGTGACCACGTTATACATTAGGTCCTCAGACCTTATTCATTTTATAACTGAAAATTTGTTAACCCTTTTACCAATCTTTCCGTATTTCCCCCACCCCTTAGCTCCTGGTAACT